TATTAAGCCATAGGTCTTTTACAATGTGAAAGGTCTTGGATGGTTAAATTAGTTTACTCATATTGTAATTTGACACTTCATGATGGAATATAATTTTTCCTTTAAAAAAAAACATATGCCTTTGCCTTTTATCCTTAATTCTTGACTCTTTTTTTCTAGTTTACTATGCATGATTGCTATGTTTTGCATTATTGACGCACTTTTTCTAATTTTCTTAAGACTTATCCCTTTATCCTTTGCTTTTTTTTTGTCCTTATTTGTCCTTTTGAGGCCATAGCTTTGAGATAAGTTGTCCCTACTGACTAATGGCTCCACGGAGGCATCAGTTGTGCCTCCATAACTCCAGAATTAGTCTGATTCACTACAAAATATATAACTATTCTTGATGAAAATTTTTGTCAAAAATAAAACTTAATTTCTGTCAAAAATTAACTCTTGGTAGAATTGTTGATAGTTAAATTTCGTCGAAAGTACATCAATAAGTAAACTATTCCGTCAAAAAAAGTAATGAAATACAAATTTATTGAAAATTTTTTGCAATATTTCATCATTAAAAAGGTAAAATGGCGGTCCATTTATCGACTTACTGTTGTCACCGTTGTGTTGGAGTATTCGTCAATGATTTGAGATATTTCGTTGGTAATCCATCGACAATTCCATCAGATGGTTAGAAAATCAATCGAAAAAATTTGTGGTTAATTTAGTCGACAATACATTAATAGGTAAACTATTCCGTACGAAAAAGTAATGACACTCAAATTTGTTGGAAATTTTTTATAATATTTCATCATTAAAAAGGTGAAATGGTGGTCCATTTATTGACTTACTTTTGTCACCATACTGTTGGAGTATTTCGTCAATGGTTTGGGATATTCCGTTGGTAATCCATGGACAATTCCATCAAATGTATGCTAGAAAATCAATCGAAAAATTTATAGGTGTTAAAAGGATATTTTGATAATTCTACGAAATATGTATGTATGCAAACTAATGTATTATACAATTATCAGATATTTGGACCATATTATTATGGAATTTAAAATAATAAAAAATAGATATTATTATACAATTAAAAATATTAAAAAATTCAAAAATATATTAAATTTTATTCAAAGAATACAATGATTACCACACACACCAGGCATTCTAATCCCAAAACCATACACATGATTGCGAGTCGTATTCTATCATGTTTCCAATCAATTCCTTTCTGCTGAGAAATTTCATAAAAAATTAATAGGAAAATATTAAAAAATGGGTGCAAATTATATCATCTGTGGATAATCCGACATATTGCTTTGGACAAAAGATTTTCGATTGAATAAAACTTTTTTTAAGTAATTATTGCTCTTTTTCAAATGATTTTAGACTATATGATGATTAAAACTTTTCTTTGTGTGACGTGCTAAAATACTAATAATTTAGCTTTAGCCTTAGATTAACAATGATGAATTTGCGTTACCCAACTTTATCCTAATAATTCATAGATGACAGTTTATTTTGACAGGTAACTTGATGTTAATTTATGTCCTTGATATGAACTTTATATAGTGGATTATATTTGAGTGATAAATGATGGATGCTCTTAAGTATGGAATGGACAGGAGGAATTAATTATGAAATGAAATAGGATAATCTCTCATTATATAGTTTAATATCACATGTATATAGGAAAAAAAAAAGATTGATGGTTTTACTTTAAGTTAGTAAAGAAAAAAAGTTGCAAATTTAGATTTAGTTAGATATTACTTTTAGGTTAAGAACTTAAGTTTGAATTCCTTCCTTCCCTAATTCCTTAAAGTTCATTTAATATACAACCTAAAAAAGATGTTAGATGCCTTTCAGTGTATTTTCTTCTGAAAATCTATAATATGCGTTATCCATCTTTTTGCCTGTAGTATTTTTCTTTTTGAAGAAAAAAAAGGAAACACAGATTAGTCTGATAATATATATAAATATTTCTTGAAATTTTAAAATCATTTTTCATTCTTTTAATGTCCTCAAATTTTGGATTGAAAAACTATTTGAGTACGATAACAACCACTAGCACATACACTATGATATTGCTTTTGATTACACAATATTAATTCCTATTATTTGGTTACTTTTATTTTCCTCTGGATCATATGAATGGATACCTTTTAGAAGAGGTTCAACACTTTTCTTTCTTTTTACGGGTCAATGCGTGATACATATATTATACTCTATAGTGTAAATTGCATCATTATTTCATGGTATTTTTGTAATGTTTAATTTTCATCTATGACCTAAAAAATCTATTTTTCCATCCACCATCTTTTAAATCAGTTTGTAGAAAATAAAAAATTGAGTTTTTAATTAATATTGTTGATGAAAATGAAACTTTGGGTAAAGGATATGGACTAACAACGAAATTTTATTTAAAGTGTATAATAGAAATCATGATTGACAAAAGCAAGAAAGAAATATTTGGTAGCAAATTGTTGATGAACAAACACATCAATTGAAGCAGCGAGTTAGCGTAAAAACAAAAACTAATACTCACAAGAGTTTTTAAAATTGATAATCAAGTTTCAAAGGTAGAAATTTACACACAATTTTTTAAAAAAAATAATAATATCATTCAATAATTTAAAAAAAAATAAATTAAATTGTCTAAAAATTAAACTTAAAAGTACTATTTATAATAACTTAATCCTACTTGATTTAAACTTAAAGTGTAAGTAAAATAAATTATAATAAAGAAGTATTTTACCTTAAATTTTTTTAGAGTATAAAAAAAAATAAATTCCTAAATCCTTATTTACTTATCATCCAAGTAAAATAAAATAAAATAAAAACTCTAAATACCAAATAAAAAATATTAAATATTAAAATTACTTATCTACGTCATCAATGCAAGGACAAACAATTTGGCTTCAACTTTCCTTTTTTAAGAAAAAGCTTCTTTTATTCATCCAAAGAAAGGAGTCCTGCTGCAAAACAAACAAGCTGCTAGGAAAAACCAAAGGAAAGGAACAACCGAAGTTTACAAAATACAGAACATTGAACTGAAACAAAACACTGCAAAAGATGGCAAAGAGCTGATATTGCAAAGTAGTGGCAAACTGGATGTAGGACAATGGACTTCCCCTTGAGATTATGATAGCCCATTGAACCAAGTACCAACTGATCTGTTTATCTGGGACAGTTGCAAAATAGCAGACCACACTTGATGAGAAAAAGGAAAGGAGAAGAATTTATGATCTCTGCATTCTGAACTCTGGAGCCTAACCACTGAAAAAACAATTTGTATCAGAGATTGAACATTGTTTCAGGAGCTAATTCTCTGTAGAGAATAGGTAATCTGTCCAGAATTGCCAGCCAAGCAATTGAGAGTGTCCTGTAATATGGTATTGAAACAGGATAATTTTGTGCAAAGTCACCTTTGACAGTTTTTGCCTAATCTCCACCCAAGAATTAACTAGAAATTGTAAAAGTGCCGAAAGCAGTACTTGCCTAGTTAGCTATCCAAAAATAAAGTTCCAAACTTAAAATTTGAAATCTGTTAGATTAATGAATGAAGGGAAATAAATCAATAAGAATGTAGGCACATCTACCTTATGTTCCGAAGGCAATATTTTTGTACTTTAGTGTGAGAAATTTTCTCCTGGTTCTTCCATGTACGGAGGTAGTACATTCGGTTGATACCAACGATACCAATAAATGTCTTTGCTGGAATGCCTGTTTGTTGCATCTTCGATTCCTTGGATCGCGGTAGTACTTTTCTTCGTATCTTTCTCAACAAGTTGGAATGCCTTTAAAACCAATTAATTAGAATGAGACAATGAGAAGAAGTGTGTTGATTCTAATGTTAGTAATCAATAAGAAAAATTAAATACGTAAAAGTAATGAACTAACCTTTCAATGATTAGAATGTGTTTGAGGCTGTCATGCTTTTTATTATTTAATAAATAAAGGGGAAAAAGAAAGCTAGCTATAGGGTCAAGAGTGTTGATGGATACCTCTGTTTTGGCGTGAACAAAAAGATTTGAATCAACCGTAAAAGTTGAAGCCATCTTGGGACATTCTTCTATCGTTAAAGACCGTAAGGATTGGAATATAAAATGATAACCCTCAGGGGTGGAGCTCAAGATGCTGGGCAAATTCCCAAGGAATAGTACTTCTAACTGAGGGAGGACCATCTTTTTGTCCTTCCCATCTTCGGTGCTTGCTTCATCTTCATGTCCAAATAAATGCTCCAATTCAAAGGCCTCTTGAATTATGAGATATCTGAGCTTTGAAAGATAACCAACAAAACTAGCAGGAAATAGGCGTTTCAAGTTTTTGCACTTTCCAATTTGCAACCTGATCAGATTGGGGAAACATACTTGGAGATGAACATGTGATGACGAGGTTTGATCCTCGGCAATGATTTGCTCCAGTGCTTCGCATCCCCAAATCTTCAGATATTTCAAGTGCAACAAATTCTGAGCAATCGTAGGTGAAAAAACATGTCTCAGGCTCCTGCAACCGATGACCTTCAATTTAATAAGATTTCCAAGGGTTACATGGTGGAGAGGATCCTTCCATATAATGCACAATTCAGGCAGAGTCTCCAATCGCAGTACCCTTAGACTTGAATGAGTATGTCCACCTTGAGCCTGAAATGTCTTCTCATGATTCCAAACAGTCAAATATTCCAAATTTGGTGACTTTTGTCCCAATTCAGAGACAATGGTGGCACTCTGTTGGTTCTTATTTCCGATATTAAAGAGGCAAAACTCCTGTGAATACATAACAAACCCAGTATCATTATATATGAATTCCTACCAAAATAAAAATCTTTAGGCTAATGCCTATGAATTTTGTTTTGAAACCTGTATAACAATTCCAATGTCTATGATCAAAATGATCAAACTATTCTGATCTCCTTAGATAGGCTTTGGCTATTATCATCATCAACAATAAAATAAAAACAAAAAAGAATTAGAAGAATGCCTATTGGATACCTTCGTTTGAGCAGGCATCGAAAATTCTGAATCAACAAGAAAACTTGTTGTGATCTTCGAACATTCTTTTACTTCCAAGTATTCCAATGTTGGGAACACAAAATGATAACACTCCGGTATGAACCTTGCGAGGCTAGGTAGCCTTTTAAGGAATAACCGTTTCAGTTGAGGAAGTAACATCTCTTTCTCATCTTTGAGGTCTGTCTCATCTTCATGTCCAAATATTTGCTCTAATTTAGAAGCTCCTTCTACTTTGAACTCTTCAAGTTTGAGAAGACAATGAGCAACACTAATAGGGAAGAGAGTTTTCAAGCTGTTGCAACCTATGATCCATGTTTTCCTTAAATTAGGGAAGCTTGTAGGTTGAAGAGGAACATTTGATGTCGATGTTGAACTTTGGCCCTCACAAATTATTTGCTCTAATGCCTCACATCCCTTCACACACAGGAAGCTCAAATTTGATAAATGTTGGGCAAGCATAGGTGGGAACACATATCTCAAACTCTTGCAGTCAATCAACATCAAAATTGTGAGATTTTGAACGCTTGCTAATTCGCTGGGACCTTTCCATATAACCTGTAACTCAGATAAGTCCTCTAAGTGTAGTGCCTTTAGATTGAGAAGGAGGTATCCACCTTGAAGTTGAAATATCTCTGGACAATTCCCAATTGTCAAATATTCTGACTCGGATGACCTCTGTCTCAATTGGGGGCCAACACTATTGTACAATTGGCTATTATTCCCAACCTTAAAGAGGCTCAGCTCCTGTAAAAACATGCTCTAATTAGATTAGATTTTGAATGCTGAATGTAAATACATACTTCTTTTTTGGTCTAAGTAAATACTAGACCAGAATTCAAGATCTTTACCAAAAGCTCATATGTAGCACTTAAGCAAGGGTTTCTTTTATGCCTTCCTTCAAACATGAATTTCCTTACTCAATTTGATCACTTGAATTTGATAAGCATACAAATTTTGAGATTGTATATATATTGAAAGTTGTATGGATCAATATAACCGAAGTGATTAGAGTAAGAATGGTTTGAGATCATTATGATTTAAAATAGAAAGAGCTCAATTTTGAACTTTAACTGCATAATCAAGATGCATCAAGTCATCTTTGAAGATCTCCGCAGAAAGTAGATTGCAAGCTTGATATTCAGAATGAGGTAAATCATTCAGTGAGTGTGAGAAAGAAGTACCTTTAGTTGAGCTAACATCGTAGCTGGTAGTTGACCGGTAAAATGAGTCAGTTGGGGACATCTATACACTTTCAACTTTTCCAAAGATGGCAATGTAATAAAACAGTTTTCCGGACAGAAACTCTTCAAATGCATCAAATTTTGAAGCACTAATGATTTCAACTGTGAGAGCACAATGTCCTTTTCATCCTTCTCCTTTGCAGTGCTGAATATTTGTTGTAATTGACAGGAATCAATTATGCAAAGGCTTTTCAACTGTGGAAGTCCTTCGGCCATTGACATCGGGAAGACATATTCCAATCTAGAACAATCAATTATCTTAATCGTTGTTAAGTTTGGCAAATGTGAAGGACGCAAAAAAGAGTTTGGTGATATTTCATCATCTTCTTCGAATTCAGCGAAGATTTGCTTCAGTTCCGGGCAATGGAGTATCTCCAGTTCTTCAAGCTCACTCAAACTTTGAGCAAGGGATGGCGAGAACAAAGATGTCAATCTGTCACAATGTTGTACTCGTACAACCTTTAGACTTTGGAGCCCTACGTGATGAGTCGGCCCTTTCCATATGCACCATAATTCTGGTAATAACTCTAACTCCAAGTGTATCAAATTTGAGAGCAATGGTGGCTCATTTTCTTGGTTGGCATGAAGAAGCTTATCCATTTCAAATACCACTTGCAACTGACCACAATCTTTAATTCTCACCTCTCTTAGATTTTGTACCCCTGGAACTGCAGAGATCATGTCCATGCAATTTCTTATTGTGAGCTCTTCTAATTTTTGCAGAAACTGTTTAGGAGGCGGACCATTGCATAACTGTTTCAGAGAAACCATATTGCTCATGGTCAATTTCACCAAATTAGAGAATGCAGGGGTAGGCACTTGGTGCTGAGTCGTATCAATCAGACATTGGATATCCTTGCAATCTTGAAGTTCAAGAAAAGTTAACTTCTGGAGCCCTCGTCGATCCAATACTGGAATGAGATTCTTGTAACCTGTTATGCTATCCAGAGAAAGATCTTCCACAGTGAGAAGCAACTTATTAAATGCATTTAACGAGGATTCCTTGATTTTCAAGGTTTTAGAGGTGGGATAATGATCGTGTTGCCATTTATTTACCACTATCGCGTACCTCTCTAAGTTTGGGAACACAAAATACTTTGACAGAAATTTAGAACGAATGCACAATGTGAGTGCACTTAAATGGGGCAATTGATATAGCTCTGATAGGCTGGCATTGCTTCCCTCAGCACTTTTTTCTTCAGTTGTCCATTGTTCAAAGCTAGGATAATCAATGTATAGCTCCTCTAGGGACACCAATCTAGAAAATACAAAATAATCAAAGCAGTCAGATTAATATGGCCTAGTGTAATAGCATTTTAAGCCAGCAGTAAGAGCCTGAAGGGGACAAGTTGGGGAATACTAAGCTTTAAAAATTTTATTGTTTCTGGCCAAAAAGAACAACAGAAAGATACAAATATCATGAACATTCTAACTCTCTGACTTTTGTTTGTTCTGCTTTTTCAAACTTGCACGGGAGATAGCTTTATGTGTATAAATTCTTATTACTTCACCATATTAATACTATATAGTTTTCCTTTTACAAGAGGAAGCACTACAATTTAAACTTAAGCTCTACACGCCCTGATATCATATGAATACCAAAGGCTTATCAGTTAGCATATTCAGAAATCTATTAACCGTCTCTGATAGTTTTAACGTGACAAATAAGACGTAGCTGTAGAAATTCTAGAACCCAAAGTAATAAATTAAATAGTAGGAAAAGGAAAAAGGGCAAATAAACATTCGAAAGATATCAAATAATACCTTGGGAGCAAGTTAAGGGGAATCCTCTGAAGCATTGCGCATGTTGAAAGATCCAGCAATCGAAGCGCAGTCAATTCCCTGAGCTCAATCGGTAGCTCGTAAATATGAGAACCGCGAAGGTCTAGAATCTCAAGTTTCTTCAATTTCGCCAATGATGAAACGTTTTCGAGCTTGCACTTTTCCAAGCGCAGAGTTCGAAGATTTGTCAACACTTGAAGTCCTTCAAGTGACAACAGAACACTTTCCAGGGTTAAAACTTTGAGGGCTTTCATTCCTTCAAAAAAAGCACTTGAAACTTTGGTTGAACCATCTCCACCGAGTAACAGGGTTTCAAGCTTTGGGCATTCCAGTCCATCAGGAAGCCTCTCTATTTTGTTGTTCATCAAGGAGATTGCTGTGAAACATTCGAAACTTTCACTCCTAGGCCACTCCTTCAACCCACGGCCGGCTTTTACCATGAACACTTTGTCTCCTTTTGACATTATCCAGTGAGCAAAATCACGAACCACATCATGCATTTTCACACATTTATGTTTACTACTATCCAACAACAAACCTGAGCTTTGGAGGTCTTCTCGCTTTGCACGCATCTCCGTCCTTGCATCATCAATTGAGCTAGCATCATGAAACAATCCTTGCCCAACTCCAAATCTGGTCAAATCTTCAATCCTAATATCATAATCTTCCGGGAAAAGGGAACACAATAAGAAACATGCCTGGATATTTTCTCCCTTCAAAAAATCATAACTAATCTTGAGACGTCTATAAATGTCTTCATAGAAATCAGGATTGTCAGAGTGGCGGCAGTCTTTGAGTCGCTTATTAGCCACTGTCCATGCATCGCGAGTTTTATGTTTTAGGGCCCTTCCTATGGTTACAATTGCAAGAGGCAAACCCCTGCATTCTCTGGCAACTTCCCTTGCTACATCAAGCAAGCCGGGACTTTCAGAGTCTTGAGTTAGACCTGCATTTTTTTGGAACAATTCCCATGCTTCATCCTCTTCTAAAACGTCAAGGTCAATCATCCTCTGGCAACTCATATAAGAACATACTTGTCGAAGACGCGTTGTCAAAAGAATTTTACAACCCGTGTGATGTTCACCGACGGGAATCCCAATATCTGTCAAGTCAATGTACTCCCAAAGATCATCAACAATTATGAGAATTCTCTCCACATGTTTCAATTCCCGCCATAATTGCCGTGCTTTCCCATGTTCGCTTTTCTTATCAAACTCGAAATCCAAGCGATCTGCTATCTCATCTTGAATTTTGTCAATGTTTGGATTTTGGGACACGGTAGTCATCACAACTTTATCGAAAAGCTTCACTTCTTCAGCTTTCTTTCCCACTTGTTTGACCAACGTCGTCTTGCCCACCCCTCCCATCCCATGCACTCCAATCACATTCACAGTATCATTCTTCAGCACCTCCCAGATCTGATTTAAAACAGATTTTGAAGATTTAGAAGGCATGAAATCCTTAGATGAGAGAAACTCTATGTTGGGAAGAGTGGCGCGATGGCCTATGCGACTGGGATCAAATTTTGAAGTAGTCTCTACAAGTTTAGCCATCCGAAGCGTCTGCTCTGCTGTTTTCTTACTTAGCCTGTAACGACAGCTCCAATTAGGACACCAAGTGAGACATGTCTTATTTTCCTGTATCTCATTTTCCAGATTTTCTACTTCTTTCTGAACTTGATCTGCCTCTTCTAGCCAGTCCATTACATCCTGATCAATATCTAGAATTTTCCTCTTGGCCTCCTTAATATCATTTTGCAGCCGAGCTTGTGCCGATGAAAATTTTTGTTTCTGTTCCTTGAATTCTTCAACAACGCTTTGAAAACAAAACACGTGACGAAGATTACTTAATGCTGGGTTCACCACGTATCGCTCCACCAGGTTTCCCGCCACACTAGTAGCAACGGATGTAGCCAGTTCAGCAGCCATTAATTCTTCGATGATATATCTGAGCCGTACAACATTAATTAATTCTACTAAGTAAAATTATTGAGAGAAGAGAGAGAGAGAGAGGTAAGAATCGAAGAAGATATTGTGAAAAGTTCGGCCAGTAACCTGGTTTCTGGGGGAGAATTGAAGCAAGACCGAAAAGGATTCAGTCACTAAAACAGCTGCACAAAATTAATAAAGCCACAATTGTGTGAGGACAGACACTCGTGTTGTTGATGACAAAGAAGGAAAATAGACGCAGTTTCAAAGCAAGTAGTGATTTCTAGCTTTTTGGGCTTCCTGAGTATTCGCTATGACGAAATTGAGCATATTATCAAAAGGGGTTCCGGCTCGAACCTTCGGTTCTACTGAGAACAATAGCTGTGGAATCCTACATATTAATTATCATCAGCTCGTCCAAAACGTAAGCACTACGATCGTTGGATGACGTCTGTGGACAAAGCCATAAAGCAGGTTCAATAATGGAGGTGGACAATTCCACTTTAGTGGAAAATACTTTTTCTAAAAACGAAACATGTGTCATGGCAAACTAATTGCTAATAGTCTAACTTGAAAGAGAACTATATGTTCAATTCACAAGTTGTTTTCTTTTTTCTCCATTATTCTCTAATTATGTTTTTCCCTCACTTTTTAAACTATAATTTTTTTTCCTCCTAAGGCTCCTAAATTCAAACAAATAGAATACTATCAATTCAGGTTTATTTAACATTTGTTATTCTTCTTTAGAAATTTAAAATCTAAGATTCAGATCTTCCCTTAATTCCTTTTGAAACTTCTTTCGTACATATTGAAAAAATGAAAGGACCAAGGAAATACTATTTTGGTTATCCACAAGAAAAATATATGTAATATTAAATAAAAATAAAAAAGAGTACTCTTTTCATTCAATATTGAAAATTGTTCATGTTTTGGCTTATATAAAGAGTAAAAGAAATGTTCTAAATTTACTTTTTAAAAAAATGATGGTATTGATAAACTACAAGTTTTAATGTCAAAAAGTAAAAGAAAAATATTAAAAATTAAAGTGAAATATAGAAAAAAAAAGAGTTGTAGTTGTTCAAAAAAATGAGTGGACAAAATTATGAAACAAATCAACAAAAGATGAACAGACGGAATAATAATTACTTATCACTGTCTTTGTCATTAGAAATAAAAAATTGAGTATTTTATAATAAACTATTGTAAATACTATTGATGATACATAATAATAATAAGTATATGTCTAGTATTTTTTTATTTAATTGGAGGAGAGGTGATTCGAACTTTATTCTTTAAGTAGGGGATCATATATCAACTAATGAGTCAAATACTCGAGTGTTTTCTTTTTTAATTGAGGGAAAAAGGATTCGAGCTCTACTCTTTAGATAAGAGATCATACATCAATTAATGAGTCAAATGCTCGAGTGCAAGTATACATTTAGTATATTAGCATAAGATAGCATAATTTATGAGATGTTAATGTAGCACACATATATTTCATAAAGACACAATTATTTTTTTGTTACGAATATTTTTGTGAATATTCATTTATATTATCTATACCTAGATTTGATATAAATTAGATTTAATTAGGATTTAATCTATCTAATCCCTAAATGTTATCTTCATCTTATAAATTCTATCAAGATAAGGAGGTTATTTGCCTATAAATAGGCCCCCTCAGTTCATTTGTAAATACACTTGAATTAGATCTTTTTATTCCCTCTAAATAATTTCTTTCCCTTTAAATACTTTCTCTTTTATTGCTCTTGTAGTTATTCTTTTAAGTTATATTTTCAGAACACGTTGTCAGTATGATCTTTATTGGTATTGTTTAAGTGCTAGAGGGGGTAAATAGCACTACAATGTTTTTACTCAGCTCTTTAGAGCTTGAAGAGCACTTAATCAACTAGACGAAGAGAAGGACTAGAACTTGTTAAAATCACAAGACACCAGGTAAAGAAAGGTAAAGAACAGTGGGCAATGTAAGACTATTTATAATGGTTCAAGCCCCTTGAGCTACATCCACTACCTTAATCTCCTAATCAAGGATTTTCAAGCCAACTTTACTAAACCAATGGAATTAACAACTTCCACCAAGCCTTTACAAGTAGAGCTTTTAACCCAAGCTCTAATCCTTTATAACAAGCTTTAGAGCGGTTCTTACACTCTAATTTCTAAAAAAAAAATGAAAAAGAAGTGCCTTTACAAGTTTGAACATATTATAATCAAGTTCAAACACCTTTTATGGATTTAGAATGAAAAACAAGTGTTTTTGGTGAAGAATATTTGGCTTTTAACTTAAAGTAGCTCTTTTCTCTTCAAATCTTTAACTTTATATGTTCTTTGACTGTTGGATCTTCCTTTTATATCTAAGGAGTCGGATTTTTCTGTTGAAGACAATTTCTAACCATTAGGAAAAACTCTGATACACTTCTAGTTGTTATTTTTGTCTTCTAGTGTTTAAATTTAAAAAGAGAGACAAACTTCGACTAATCAGTTATAGGCAGTTCTAACGGATTACAGCTTTTTCACCATGCATTGTCCTGCTACTATGTTCACTGCTCTAACCGATTACAAGAGGCTCTAATTGATTAAGAGTTCTTTGCCTTTAGACTCATCTTCTTTAGCAAACTTCCTCTAACTGGTTACTATAGGCTCTAACTGATTACAAATTTTCTGTTTTCACTTCTTTACACAATAGTCTTCCTCTAATTGTTCAGCGCTTCCAGTAACTGATTGAGGCTTTACTTCTTTTAACCATAACTGATTAAAATCAGCTTTAATAGACTAGAAGATCTTTGAATTTTGAACTTCTCCATTTTGACTTCCTTCAACAGTCAACAATATTTTCAAACTTGTTTTTTGACGCTTAAAGATACTAGGACCTTATGCTTTAACTAATTAACCGGACCTTTTAACCAATTAGCATATTTCTGTTTCACTTCAACTTATCACACAGCCATGCCTTAGCTGATTAAGGTCCTTTGATAATCAGTTACTAGGGTTCTGTTTTTGTTCATTATTTGCTCTTTTCTTCTTAATTGATTAACTCTTCATTAAACTTAGCAAGCTCTTTGAGTTGCTTTTAATTAATAGCTTTGTTAGAGGTATGAGATTAAATCCGACACATTTAAATAGTGAAGTTAGACATTAATGAATGAAGAATGTTTTGTTATAATAAAAAACATATGAAGTCAACAATCTTTTGATTTCTCAAGTTTGGATTTTGTTTTAATCATCTTCAAGCTTCAACAAAATTTTAATAATTGGGTTTCGATTTCTGGTTTTAACAAATCAGGTAAGTGTTAGCAATATTTTGTTTTCATCCTTTCACAAAGGTTGGGTTTTTTTTTTATTTTTGATTTTAAAAAGTCAAATAAATGACTTGATATCTCTTTAGTATTTTCAATCCCTTAAAAATCAACTTTAATATAAATTTTGCTATTATGTGGTATATATATATTATATTTTGTCCCTTGCTATTAATGAAAAATCATAATGTCCATTCCCTAAAGTGAATGTGACAATTGAGCTACTAATAAAAAATTATAAATTTATCTATTCCCTGAATTGAATACGACATCATTTAATAATTATGGTCATAGCCATGAATCTATCTATTCCTTGAAGTGCATACCACATCATTTAATAATTATGGTCATGGCCATGAATCTATCTATTCCTTGAAGTAAATACCACATCAATTAATAATTATGATCATCGACATGAAAGAGGTCATCATAATAATTTACACTATTACTATTCTAATTAAGTATAATTTTACCACTAGAAGCGGATAGATAATTTTGTTACCAGAAATGGATGGATAAATTTACGACTAGAAGTGGATAGATACCTTAACCTACTAAACCACAAGAAGTGGATAACCCATTAACAGTGGATAAATACTTGTAATCTACCAAAAATGGATGAATACTTTCAATCCACCAATAGTGGATGAATACTTTCAACCCACTAGAAGTGGATGAATAATGAAAAAACAAAAATAGAAAGAATAAAAAGAATATAGAAAATGTATTTACCATTGGTCACATACCTATTGTACATCTTGAATTTTATCAAGCATCTTTGAAAACTAAAGCATGTTGTGATGATTTTGACCATAACCAAGTTGATATAGCATATCAAGATGTTTTTCCACCCTAAAAGATGAATTAATTATATGATTGGTAATAGAAATATCCAATGTTAATTTTCTTATCCTAAAAAAGGAATTAATCATTTGATTGGTAATGAAATATCCGAAAATGAACTTAATAGTAATTGGTATATTTTGGTATAACTATATTACGAAGATAGCTTTAATATGTTCTTATTATATTTAAATGATATGTTCTTATTATATATTTTAATTCTGTATTTAATGTTATTTCATGTTAACTTGTAAATTTCTTGTTGTATATATTTTATTTTATTAAAGAAAATATGAATATTCATCTTGTTAAATCCAAAATCTATGAGGTAAATATATGTCTAGTAGACATTGTTACAACGCACACTATATTTAAAGACAAGAAATATTGTTTTCACTTGACAATGGAAAAAATCATTGTCAATACAATATTTGGTAGTACAAGATTAATTGAAAGCTTTGGAAGAGCTAATATTTTATTATCTTATGGAATAAAGTTTATAATAGATGATGCATTACTTTCTATTAAATCTCAAAGAAGTTTATTAAGTTTTAAAGATTCACCTGAATAGATATCATATTGAGACAACGAATGAAAGAGACACTTAATACCTCTATATTATATTTATTATCTCAAATAGGAAATGTGTGTGACAAAAAAAATTACTTGCTTTGTTCTCTAGATTAAACTACATAAATATTAGAATAATTGAAACTCATGGTAAACCAAAAGTTTACTAATGATTTTAATGTTTGGCATGACTGGTTAGACCATCCTAGATCAATAATGATGCAACAAATTATTGAAAATTAATATGATCATTCATTGAAAAACCAAAAGATTTTTCAATCTAGTGAAATACTCATGTGCTACTTGCTCTTAATGATTATGTAATTAAGACAATTAATCTTAACAATGCTTGTGAATTTACATCTCAAGCTTTAATATCGCACATTAGTTTGAATAATTATTAAGGAACCTATTGCTTATGTTTATACACAAAACGGTCTAGTAGAATTGTTTATTAAATACTTTCAACTGATTGCAAGGCCATTACTTATGAAATTTAAACTCTCAATTTGTGTTTGGGGATACACCATTTTAAATGCAATAGCATTTGTATGCATCAGGCCAAATGAGTTATTATAAATTCTCCCTTATACAATTGGTTTATGGTCAAGAACCAAATATTTTTTGTTTAAGAATTTTTAGATATGCGGTAT